CACAAACAAATTCCATTTGGCCGTTGTTGAAAGAAAATTCTACTGAAGAGTATTTGATGAGAATGAAATGAAGTGGTGTTTTTGTTTGAGAGATTTGCTCAAATGAAATGAAGTTTTGAGAGATTCGTCTTAATTTGTTATATTAGTAGTTTCGTTGAGTGTCGTTTTTATTCATCACAAATGTTCATCGATATGACTTTGAAATCAACGAATCGAAACGGGTTTTTCACCGCATCTCTTTTGGCATTCAGATGGGAGGGTGTCTCATGCATGGAACGATATTTCCGATACGTTAACAGTGGAATTATAATAATTACCTTCCTAAGAAATCTTGTTTTACTTCGCACATCCAGCCATCCGTCCGTACACTCATTGGAGCGTGATGGAAGAATTTTATGAGAAAACCTGAATTGAGAATATTTGAAACCATTACTAAATGTAACAAGTACGGTGCTGGAAAGGGAGCGATTCAGATGTCGCGATGTTGTATCGCAATACATGATAGTAAAGATGTGCCTTCTGAAAAAAAAACAAATCGAAACATAGCAATTTTTCAGATATGTTTTAACAGAACTGATGCAAAGTGATCTACACAAAATCATCGTCTCACCACAACCACTGACCTCAGATCATGTCAAAGTTTTTGTTTATCAAATCTTGAGAGGTTTGTCTTGCTATCCGCTAATGTTTTTTGTACTTGAACAGTATCATTGTCCATCTGAATTCATCAGATTCTATGAGAAGAGTCAAATACGAAAATTGCTAGCTTCTGTTAGTTTTTTTCCGAATCAGTACAAATTTACATACGTTTGTCATGAATTGACGACGACTTGAGCAAGAATCTCTGTGAATATTGATGGAATGCGATTAATACAATACGAAACTGTTCAAGTCTACTTTTTTTAATCATTTCATTGAATTTATTGAATCAATTTGATTCCTGTTTATTCGCATTTGTTCTCGAAATCTTTAGCTTGTTCAATAATTTTTCGATTCAATGAGCGATGTTTCGATATTGTTACTGGCGAAATGATCTTTTGAAACATTTTCTAAGATTCAAAACAAATTTCAGGTTTGAAGTACCTTCATTCGGCGAATGTTCTGCACCGAGACATTAAACCTGGCAACCTTTTGGTTAATAGTAATTGTATCCTCAAGGTAATGAAAGATTCCTTACTTGGTTTCACTAACGATCCTCTCATCTAACTAAAATAATTACCTTCGAGTGAATTTGCTAGCTGTGGACGCTATCTCGGGGGCAAAATAAGTCTTATTCGTTCCAAATTTCTCTTATAAAAGGATGTATCGGATTTCATCAGTCTCATTTCCTGATTTCTTAAGATCTGCGACTTTGGACTGGCACGGATGTGGGATTCTCGTGAGCAGCAGAATATGACGCATGAGGTGGTGACCCAGTACTATCGTTCTCCTGAGCTGTTGATGGGTGCACGTAAGTATACGTCTGCAGTTGACGTCTGGTCAGTTGGATGCATTTTCGCTGAACTGTTAGGCCGTAGGATATTGTTCCAAGCACAAGGACCAATTGAGCAGGTATTATTGGAAATTATTCTCTTCAAATTATTCTTTTCCTCCACATCTCCTCATTTGCTCACTCGAAACACTTCTTGAGAGCCCGAATAGTCAATTTGAATTATTTTTTGGTATTTCGCTTTCGCAGTTGGTCATTCCGTCGTTGTAACGAGAGATTTGACTTGAAATGGTACCAAATTGAAGCTTATTTCGATAAAGTTTGTTGCGATAAAGTGGAATTGTTTCAGTTGAATATGATCATTGATCTGTTGGGTACACCAAGCGCCGATGAGATGAAGAATGCTTGTGACGGTGCCCGGAATCATGTTCTGCGATCACCATACCGACAACCGAACACTATGCGTCTTTACAGTTTATCGCATCAAGCAACACATGAAGCCGTTCATCTGCTCAGTTCACTGCTCGTTTTCGATCCCGTTAGTTCATCAGTTCCTTTGCTGATCTTTTTGTTCTGATAAATAACAAAACAATGAAAATAGCAGCAATTATCCATAAACTTTCTAGTTTTTTTTAAAGGAAAACGTTTTCTTTGAGGGCAGTTTGTAAAATTATGTTAAGTGATATAAAACGAAGGTGAGCGATTATGAATGCAGTAAGAACTCGATGAGAGATTTTCGAATTTTAATCAGAGAGAGATTTCAGGACAAGCGAATAGGCGTTGAGGATGCGTTGGCTCATCCCTACTTGGAAGAGGGCCGTATGCGTTTTCATTCGTGTATGTGTACGTGTTGCTATACGACACCCACAAATAATCGTGTCTTCACGAATTGTTTCGATCCCACGGTTAGTTCCCGTCCTAGTTCGTCAATTTGCTTCAGTGACTCGGTTAACGTCAGCTCAATTCTGTACGATTAAGGCGAAGAGCGTCCGATTCATGCCACAAAATATCTCTTCATTGCGTATGAGTCTGAACGAAGAAGAATGAAAAGAATTGCAGAATGAAGGAGTTGAATGATGAAATTTTCAGCACGAGCAGCCTTTCGACCCGAAATGGGAGAAAGAACTGTCACGAATGTCGATGTTCGATCTACGTGATCGTATGTATAAATATGTTACCGAACGGACACCTTTATACGGTGTTCCACTGTGTATTAATCCAAATTCAGCAGCTTACAAAAATTTCGCAAGGTAATAATTAAATGATTGTTGTTGGTTCGATTGAATCACCTGTTGGAATATTTTTTTAGTGGATAACTTCACGTTGTTGATCAACTGATCGAATTGATAGATTTTGTTTCATTAAGGGAATGTCTTAGGAAGGAACTGGCATAACACTAAATCGATTCGCTTTTGCATAAGTATTATAAGTAAAAGTTCCAGTAGAGATGGCCATATGGCTAGCGAATGTGACATTTAGTCAGTGAATTGAAAACTTGCCTTCATGTTCTTGCGGACATTCGATGTTTATTTCATTTCTTGTCATTACCACTGTCATTTCACCAGATCATAGTGTTCATTCGAATATTTGTTTCAGTTCCTCTGTAGCGCAGCCGTCTGAATTACCGCCGTCTCCGAACGCATGGGATTGATTTTGTTCGGTCTGAAGTGCTACGAGGATGGCAGAAATCTGGTGAAACTACAGATGGAGAGCCAGCTACCATAAATTATTACTAACCACAATTTCGCATAACTTATCCGCATACAGTCGTCGAAATCATCATCATCATTTTATCGTGTGATCGCAACGAACACTGCCCCGTCAGATCCCAGNCGATCTGCTGCATAATAGTGATCGTCATTTGTTGATCACATCTAACGATCAGTCGATAATCAATGAATCGTCGTCCTCTTTTCCATATGCTGTGCGTATTCTTTTAGGGCGATATTCACAACTCTTCCACTGAATCTGTTCTATGAATCGTGTATAATTTGCATTAACTACCTACCTACCTACATAAAGGAACTACCCACCAACCCTATGAAGTTCTTCTCAAAATATTACTGTAGTGCTGCTGCATTTATTTTAATTTTCATTCATTTATTATTTATTGCTTGATCTATTATTCAATGCGGTGTTATTCTCTTGTTTCTTTTAAATACTAAGCGTTGTTTGGTCAGAATAATCCAGAATTGTCATAATGTTATATGCAAACTTTTATGTGCCTCCCATGTGTTTTGTTTCATGGTGCGCATTCATCATGTTGTTTGTTAATCGGAGCGCTCTTGATGTTGTTTTCCACTAGAGTTGTGAACTTGCCAGCCAGTCACCTCATTTTATCCATGAAAGAATGAACTGTTGATTTGTCGACTCAGCCAAATGATTCCCGATCGCACCTGTCTGTCGTGTTGCTATGCTGCACATTCGAATTTGACGTGAAGAAGTGTGAGAATTGCGATCATTCATGTCATTTTTCCCCATTGCAGAGAATATCTTCGGATAGACTCTGAACTGATTAATGAATGATTTCGACTCATTGTATATTTAACATCTATACATATATTTAACAGCCAGTTTTGGATCTTATATCCTAGTCATCTGGAAAGCCGTATAGTACTGGCTGTCTGGATATAACGGGATATAATTGAGCTGTTTTATGATTCACTGCTGTGGTCGCAGTGCTGCTACTACTACGTCTACAATCAGATCATCTTATCTCAAATTGTACTAATTCAATTATGGCTATGAAGATATTGACCGAAATTATCTACTCTATTGGAAAAGTCTTTCATAATATTTATTATTGTTGTTTTGTTGTTGTTTTTGTTGTCATTTGTTTGCGTACGTATTCGATATTAATTCCTTATAAAAATGAAATTGCTGTGTTTTTACCATCTCGAGAGTGTTGTTTCATCGTTGTATTGTTTCGTCTGTGGAATGCATATTCGAAATGTTTATATAATGTCCATTTTTGTTGAGTTTGATGGTTGTTTTCTTCATTTCGTAATGGATTTCTGATGGTGATCTTGATGACGATGGTAGCTAGAGGTTCTCACACCATTCCCACCTTATTCACTGATNTTTTTTCTTCTGGTTGTCAAGCGTATGAAAGAAATTCGTCGTTTTAGGACTTGAGAAGATGACTAAAATTAGATTATTATGATGAAATGACTGACTAAGACGTTGCTGTGAGCATAAGCCGTTGCCTTTTCCACGTAATCCAAACGAAAACAACATCGGTGTCAAAACCAAAATGCTTTAAACTCAAATTCTATCCATATTCTTGTGTTTATGATTGATTCTATTGTACGGCAATTTGTCATCAATTGTTCATTTTTTGTGCGCATCTGATTCTGTCATTTTCAAGAGTTTTTGTTGTTGTCATCGTAATTGAATTGCCTCATCATTGAATTTGTATTGACTGGCTGCTATGATCAGTTTATTGCCACCGCTGTTTCTTCTGAATTTGATATAATAGTCAAATTTGCGCAAGACAGGAAAGAAACTGAATGAAACGACGGTCATCATCATTGTAAATAAACATGAATAAATTTCTTCGAATTAATCGGGGCTCTTTTTCTTAGCGTTATGCATTGTTTTATGGATTTCCATTTGTAAAAGGGTGGATTGGAATGATACTATTAGTGGTAAATGCTAAAATTTCATTCAGAACTGACAGTTCAGAAAATTCTGCATTCAAGTGCTCATCTCTGGATGATATATCCAAAAACGTGCTTCCAACAAGACATGAAGTGAGAGCTCTGTTTTTCTGTCGTGAATGATCTACGATGACTTAAGAAAGAAGGGAGACGGAGTAAAAATTTCCACTATTGATAACGTTATCATTGTCATCAATCAGAAAACATACATAATTGATTGTATGTATCCAGTATATCCAGCATCTAACTATCATTATTGTATTAATAAATCTGAAGTTTGCAATTTCCATTGATTGTCATCTCAAACATCTTAATGACCCATCAGTTGCTCCACAGAGTGTCTTTCGGATGACGTTATGGCTGCTCTTTTCTGATTTCATTCATGATTATGTTTATGGTTGAGGTTTGGCTCTGAATTTTACAATG